GAGACATCAAGCCCATGCCGCCTGATCTGACGATGGATCGCGCCGATCCTGCACGGAAGCGGGACCCGTAGCGCAGCTAATCCGCGCGCCTCGACTCCATGCCTGCGCTCCCTCGATACAGGGAGTTCAGGAGGGGGGCGCCCAGGAAGGGGGTTCGCAAAGCATGGCAAGGGACGCGTGCGCGGCACAGGGACGGCCAAAGAGCGTGTCCAGAAAAGAAGAGGGGGGAGCCACGAAGTCTGGGGAGATCCCATGGCGCCGACCATGATGTCCACCCGCCTCGTCATCACCCCCCTGTTGGCAGCCCCCGACGGTAAAGGCACCCCGCCCTCTCAGAAGCCCCCCCCCCCCTCCAGGTGACGCGCCGCAGAGGAGGCGGACGACAGCCGAGATGCGCGGCCGACGACGACGGCGACGACGACGACGACGACGACGACGACGACGACAACGACGACGACGACGCCGACGATGACGACAACGACGACGACGACGACGACGAAGACGACGGGAACGACGACGACGGGAACGACGACAAAAACGAAAACGACGACGACGACGACGACAACGACAACGACAATGACGACCACGACCACTGCGGCGGCGGCAACCGACGAGGCGTACGGCAAAGATCCGAAGGAGGAGGGCAGCCGCGGCGGCGGCCTTGGGCTCCCTGTTCGCCAGGGGGCCGCGCGGGGACTTGCGCGCGCCGCAGGGGGGGGGGTCGAGGGGGGGACGAGAAGGGTAGGAAGGCACCAACTATACACCAACACCGATCCTGGCCAGGATCACCCTGGGCCCAGGATCGGTGTATACGCCCTCCTGCCTTGCGCAAGAAGGCATATACACCGATCCTGGGCCCAGGGTGATCCTGGGCCAGGATCGGTGTTGGTGTATAGTTGGTGCCCTCCGAAAGGGGGCCAGCTCAAGGGGGTTAGGAGGCAACTGTTGGGAGGTCTTCCTCGGAAAGATTGAAGAGGATTCAGCCCCATTGGGGGGCTCTTACGACGGAATGGGCCTCGGATTGAGCGGGATTGACCCGGATCAAGCGGGATTCAGCGGGATCAAGCCGGATTAAGCGGGATTGAGCTGGATTAAGCTGGATTTCGGACCAGGGCAAAATCAAAATTTGACCTCCCGGGAGTTGCATCCGAAGCGGGGGAAGCATCGACCGATCAGGGGGGCCAGCCAACAATAAGGGAAAACGATAAGGGGGGAAACAATAAGGGGGGGAAACGATGAGGGCCAGCTCGGGGGGGAAACAATACGAGGGGCCAGCCAACGATAAGGGGGGCCAGCTCAGGGGGACCAGCTCAGGGGGGGAATCTGCGACACATCGCCGATAGATCGGCGGCAGGCTCCCGAGAGCGAAACCGCAACCTCCTACGGGTGGGCTATCAAGCCGCCATCGGCGATGAATGGGCGTTCGGGAGTCGATGCGTTCCCCCTGAGCATCTTCTCCCCTGACGTTGCTCCTGAACCTCCCGACCTGGTTTTCGGGTCATAATTCGGGCATCAGGCGGCCGTTCGGAACCAGTTGGGCACCCCGAGAGCTTTCTCGGCGAGGCGCAACTGATGGAAGCACCCTGGGTCTCGAAATCGTTCGAACACTCCTGAAGCTATTCGAAGACTTGCCCCTCAGCCGTCCCCTGAGCCTATCCCCACCTCTCGTGGCCGTAACGGTGCCCATGAGCTTCTATCTCTCTCTATCTCTCTCTCTCTCTCTCTCTCTCTCTCTCTCTCTTTTCAACACAGAAGGTCGCATATGACGGCAGGCCTTGCTGATCCGAGCTGCTCAGTCAGCGTGGGGGGGGGCGCGGGGGGGGGGATCGCATTAGTCGGCGTCGCACCCAGGGGGAAAGCGAGAGGGGGCGCGCCTTCTCAGAAGCCTCAGAAGGAATCTGGTCTTCTGAAGAGCTTTCAAGGCCTCCTGAGCAGCCTCGCCCTCCCTCACGTCCCTCCTCGGCGCGCCGCCGAAGCAAAGGGTGGATTCGGCGCGCGTGGGGGGGGGACTGGCACAGTACGTCGGACGGGGTGGCATGGGGAGGGTGAGAGAGAGAGAGAGACGCGCTCTGCCGGCTGGCCGACCGTCCTGGAGCGGGTTGCGCGGTGAGGCCTCAGCCCTCGAGTCTCCCACGATTTCTCGCAAGACTCGCACTCTCACGAACGACCAACTTCTCAGTTCTCCTAAATGTGACTACACACTTCTAGCTTCTCACCATAAAACTCAATTCTCGATTCCATCACAAACTACATGATTGCTGAGTTGTAAATGATCTCGCTGTGTCGACCCATCGTCTCCGAGGTCCACTGGGTCTTCTGGTTCTGGCATGCGGTTCCCACAGAAATACGCGGCGTGCGCATGGATGTTCGTCTGCTTCCATGTGTTAACCACTTGCTAGCTGCTTCCTGATATACTGATATCCAGTCGCGAATGCTCAGTTTCTGGGCTCTCTCTTCTGCCTCTCTGATGGCACACTTGATCCACTCCACCCACGGCTCCAACAAATCAGCAGATTGAAAAGACCTGGAGTACACGTGCAGCGTGGGCCCCGAATAAGATTGACTGCACCACCTTGTGCAAACTGGAGATGTACAATACTACCACTGCCAAGGACCACGCTGTCTGCAATGAACGGCGAAACAAATGTTGCCTTGAAAACGACTCCCGTTACAATCGGTCAAGTGGATGGTACCACCGTGCATCTCTCTCTCTCTCTCACTCTCCTTCTCCTCCCTTTCCCCATGGGGGAAAGGCTCGAGGATCGAGGAGAATCGAGAATCGACGTCTCTGCACGATCTCGTCCGCCCTTGGGCCTCTGGACGCCTCTGGCGGGCACTGGGAGCCTCTGGGGGTCTGCAAAGGCCCTCAGGGAGGGTATCGATCGGGTGCGGTGGGGGAAGGGCTGTGCGCCTACTGCCTGGAACGAGTGTGAGCTACGTCTGGAGCAGCGCCGACAGTTTTGTAGAGTCTTCCGAGCACTTTGCCAGGCCTCTCTTGAAGTTCGATGTTGCCGACCTGTAAGTCTCTACCAATCGAACATGGCCCCAGCCGATGTGAAGTGCAACCCACCCGAACGCCCACCTCCCCCTCTCGCCCTCTGGGGCGAGCGTTGGCTCGACACCCTTTCGCGCCGCCGCGGCCGACTGACAGACCCCTTCCTCCGCCCCATCGCATCCGCCCCCTCCCACTCTCCCCCATCCTTCCCTCTCATTCCCTCGTCCTTCCCTCCCACTCCCCACCTTCCCATTCTCTCCCGCCCCCGTTACATCCCTCTCTGCCCCGCTCCTCGTGCAGCTCCCCTCCTCCTCCAAAAGCGTTCCTCCCCCTGCCTCAACACTCCTTTCGCTCCTTCGTTTGAACCCGAGGATAGTGAAGAAGGGTAAAGAGAACACCTCGACACGCCACAAGTATGCGCCTGCACTCCGTGGGAAATGCGGTGAGCTCCACGTTTGGCTACGTCGCAGAGTCACCCCACCCAGGGTCGAAAAGGGCAGCCTCCTGCGCAAACGCCTGGCCGTCGCGGGATCGTGCTCAACTCCCAATTTTCTCCCAAAGTCCCTGGAGGCTTCTGGGGTCTCCGGCCGTCGTCGCCGTCGCCGTCACCGTCATCCTCCTCCTCCTCCTCCTCCTCCTCCTCCTCCTCCTCATCCTCCTCCTCCTCCATCTCCTCCTCCTCCTCCTCATTATCCTCAGCCTCATCCTCATCATCATCATCATCATCATCATCATCATCATCATCATCATCATCATCATCATCATCATCATCATCATCATCATCATCATCATCATCATCATCATCATCATCATCATCATCATCATCATCATCATCATCGTCGGCATAATCATCATTATCATCATCAACATGATCGTCAGCAAAATCATCAGCAGCATCATCATCATCATCATCACCACCACCACCACCATCATCATCATCAGCATCATCATCATCATCATCGAGATCAGCATCATCATCATCATCATCATCATCATCATCAGAATCATCATCATCCTCGTCCTCATCGTCATCCTGATCCTGATTCTCATCATCATCATCAGAAGCATCAGCAGCACCAGCACCAGCATCAGCATCATCATCATCATCATCATCATCAGCAGCATCATCATCATGAGCATCATGCTCATCAGCATCATCATCAGCAGCAGCAGCAGCTGCAGCATCAGCAACAGCATCATCACCATCATCGTCATCATCATCACCACCACCACCATCAACATCATCATCATCATCGCATCATCATCAACATCGTCATCATCAACATAATCATCAACCAACCGTCAACCATCAACCCTCAATCACAATTCATCATCACCACCACCATCACCATCATCATCAACATCATCATCGTCGTCCTAATCATCAGCATCATCATCATGATCACCATGATCATAAACGGCATCATCATCAGCCAACCATCAACCACTAACAATGAACCATCATCCTCATCATAATCTGCATAATCTGCATCATGATCATCAGGATCATCATCAACATCAGCAGCATCAGCATCAGCATCAGCATCATCGTCATCATCGTCATCACGGTCATCGTCATCATCATCATCATCATCCTCCTCCTCCTCATCATCATCATCATCATCATCAGCAGCAGCATCGTCGTCGTCGTGCGCCTCCTCCCCCTTCTCCCCATCCTCCGCCTCTTCCTCCTCCTTCTCCTCCTCCTCTTCCTTCTCCTCCTCCTCCTCATCCTCATCCTCCTGCTCCTCCTCATCCTCCTCCTCGTCAACCTTCTCTCCTCATCCTCCTCCTTCTGATCCTCCTCCTCCTCCTGCTCCTCCCCCTCCTCCTCCTCCTCCTCCTCCTCCTCCTGCTGCTCCTCCTCCTTCTCCCCCCCCTCCTCCTCCTCCTCCTCCTCCTCCTCCTCCTCCTCCTCCTCTCCTCCTCCTCCTCCTCCTTGTCTTCCTCCTCCTCCTTCACATCCTTCTCCTCCTTCTTCTCCTCCTCCTCCTCCTTCTCCTCCTCACCCCCTTTCCCTCAACATAATCATCAGCAGCAACAACAATAACCCACCACAAACGGAATCAGCAGCAGCGTCGACATCACCACCGTCGCAAGCATTCCATCATAATTGGTATCATCAGCATCAGCATCAGCAGCAGCATCATGACCATCATCCTCCTCCTCCTCCTCCTCCTCCTCCTCATCATCATCATCATCATCATCATCATCATCATCATCATCATCACCATCATAATTATCATCAGCATCACCATCATCATTACCATCATCATCATCATCATCATCATCATCATCATCATCATCATCAGCTTCATCCTCGTCCTCATCATCATCATGATCCTGATCCTCGTCATCATCATCACCATCACCATCGGCATCAGCAGCATCATCATCATCAGCAGCATCATAATCATGCGCATCATAATCGTAATCAGCATCGTCGTCGTCATCATCAGCCTCAGCATCCGCCTCCTCCTCCCCATCGTCCTCGGCGTCGTCGTCATCATCGGCCCTCTCCTAGTCAACATCATCACAACCGTCATCATCATCATCACCAACACCAACACCACCACCCCCATCATCAGCATCATCATCACAATCACCAGCATCAGCGTCATCATAAGCATCATCATCAAATTGATTGCCACCACCATCATCACCATCACCACCATCATCCTGAATTATCCGGAATCAGATTGATCATCAGAAGCAGCAGCATCCTCATTATCATCATCGTCATCGTCATCGTCGTCATCAGCATCACCATCATCACCATTACCACCAGCCCCACATCCCCATCATCAGCATAAAACGCCTCAGTAGTACCATCATCGTGAATAGCATCACCACCATCATCACAGGCGTAAGTCGTCAAGTCTGGGCTTCTCGAGGCTGAAGGCCAGAAGGGCCAAAGCAACACATAGAAGCGTCGCCGTCGTCGTCGCCAGCGTCATGATCATAATCCTAGTCATCATCATCATCATCATCATCATCATCATCCTCCTCCTCATCAACGTCGTCGTCGTCCTCGTCGTCGTCATCACCACCACCGCCACCACCACCACCACCTCCACCGTCATCATCCTCATTATCAGCACCAAAACCATCACCATCAATATCACCGCCGTCCTCGTCATAAACCTCACCATCATTCTTCTCCTCCTACTCATCCCCCTCACTCTCATCCTCATCATTATCATCATCGTCGTTACTGTCATCGTCATCCTCCTCCTCCTCGTCATCCTGCTCATCCTCCTCCTTCTCCTCCTCATCATCATTAGCATTATCATCATCGTCGTCGTCGTCATCACCACCACCGCCACCACCACCACCGTCATCATCCTCACAATCAGCACCAAAACCATCACCATCAATGTCATCGCCGTCCTCGTCATAAACCTCACCATCATTATTATCCTCCTTCTCCTCATCACCCTCATCCTCATTCTCAGCATGATCATCATCGTCGTTGCCGTCATCGTCCTCCTCCTCATCCTGCTCATCCTCCTCATCATCATCATCATCATCATCATCATCATCATCATCATTACCACCATCTTCGTCAACGTCATCAAAACAGGCATCATCATCATGCTCATCAGCATCATCATCGGCATCATTTAAGCCGTGGCCAGTATGACCATCGTCATCATCATCATCAGCATCAGCAACCTCATCATCATCCTCATTATTATCAATAGTGTCAGTATCGTCATCGTCATGGTCATCAGCATGGTCAGTATCAGCATCATCGCCGCCGTCATCATCGTGACCATCAGATTCATCATCATCATCATCATCATCATCATCAGCATCATCATCGTCATCATCATTGTCGCCGCCATCATCATCAGCATCATCATCAGCAATAATACCATCACCATCACCATCGCCATCACCATCACCGAAATGATCATCGTCACCATTACCACCACAGCCACCACCACCACCATCACCATCACCATCATCATCACCGTCATGACCAGCAACATTAGTCTCAACATCATCATCAACAGCATCGCCATCATTATCGTCAGCATCATCCTCATCACCCTCATCATCCTCATTACCATCACCACCATCATCATCAGCAGCATCGTCATCAAAGTCAACATCCTCCTATCAGACAACGATCAACCACATCATCATCATCATCATCATCGTCATCAGCATCATCATCATCACCACCATCATCACCACCATCATCACGGTCATCATCATCATCGCCACCATCATCAGCAGCATCCTCATCACCACCATCATCATGGTCATCATCATCGTCACCATCATCGGCATCATCATCATCACCATGAGCGTCGTCATCATCACCATCATCGTCATCATCATCATCGTCATCATCATCATCATCGTCATAATCGTCATCATCGTCATCATCGTCGTCGTCGTCGCATTCCCCCACCCACCCGCTCGATGCTCGCCTGCAGGTGCCCTGGGCAATACCCCAGGGCGTCGTCGCTGCCCCAGGTGATGCTGTGCTGCACCTGCGCTAGCCGCTCGCTCGGGCGGGGAGGAGGAGGAGGAGGAGGAGGAGGAGGAGGAGGAAGAGGAGGAGGAGGAGGAGGAAGAGAAGGCGGGGAGGAGGAGGAGGAGGAGGAGGAGGAGGAGGAGAAGGAAGAGGAGGAGGAGGAGGAGGAAGGAAGAGATGCATAAATATGCTGCAGTACGCCCTCCCGTTCCAAGTCCCCCGTGCATACGCCCCTACAGGTCTCCCCTTTCAGGACAAGAAGCGCCCCCCTGAAGACCAGTACGGTTGGGCCTGCCATTCTGGTGAGGGCCCCGCTTGAAGTGGAATTGCCTTCCATCTTATTGGCGCGTAATCATGCGCACGAAAAATAATGACCATGCAGTTTAACGAAGTGCCCGTAAACATTGAGGAAGCCTCGGGCGACAACTCAATCTTGAAAGAGAAGAAAAAACATGGATCAGCGGAGCGCTACGCGCGTTGAAATCCGAGGTATTTACGCTGAATAACGAAGTCTCAGGCGAGAGCTTAATGTTGAAGCAGATTGGTCCCCCATCCTGCTGGAGGTTGCATTACAACACGAATGCGCACGGCGCTGCTGCGAGAACCCCATTCTCAAAGTGACGAGTGGTCAACCCTTTGAAACTGCTGCAAGATGTTAAGACGAATATGCGCGACGCTGCAGCGCAAGCCTCGCAGGAATCGCCCTCCATACGTGAAGCTGTCGCAAACTGTTGAGACGTAGCTGTCGCAATGTGGTAAGACGTGTACGTGCGCTTGCACATCACCCAGAAAACAACTGCGCGCGGCGCTACGACGTCAAACACATGTTGAAAACAAGCCTTTCCGTGAAACCGCTGCAAATGGTTCAGAGCTAATACGAGGGCCATTTTTTGAAACGGAACCCCTTACGACAACGAAGCTGTTTCAAACATGTGAAACGAATATGCGCGGTGCAAACGCCAGAACATCACTTTGAAAACGGCCCCTCTTCATCCGTGAAACTGTTGAACACTTGATGGCGAATGCGTGCGGTGATCAGGCGAGAACCATATGTTGCAAAACACCAGCCTTCCACCCGCGAAACTTCTGGAAACTGTTAAGACGAAGGTGCGCGGCGCTAGGGCGAGAGCACCGTTTTGAAAACGACCCACCCACACACCAACCACTCGTGAAAATACCGCATACTGTTGTGTCAAGACGAATGCGCGCGGCACTAAGGCGGGAACCACATGTTGCAAACCACCCTCGGAACTGCTGCAAACTTTGAGACGAACGTGCGCGGCGCTCAATCGATTACCAAAGTTTGCAAGCATCCCGCCCTCAATCCTTGAAACTGCTGGAGACTGTTAACACGAATGTGCGCGGCGCTGAGGCGAGAGCACCATGTTTAAAACGGCCCCCACCTCACCCCATCCATTCGTGGAACTGCTGCATCTCTTAAGATGGAGGAGGGCGGCGCTGAGGCTGCAACCACGAACCGACCACCCTCCACCCATGGAACTGCAGCAAAACGAGAGCCACCTTTTGCAAACCACGCGCCCTCCATCCGTAAAACTGGCGCAACCTTTAAGACGCAGGCTTGCGGCGCTAAGGCGAGGTCCACATTCTGAAAACCACCCTCCCTCCATGCGTCAAGCTGTTCCAAACTTCGATTTCCAAGATCGTAAGTGGCGAAGGGGTGTCAGGCGCAATGCCCAGGCAGTCCTGCCGACACGTCTGATGGTGCGGCCCCCTCGAACTATCGCGTCGGAGAATAGGAGTCCCGTCGTCTTTCTCGCCGCCAGCGTCGGCATCGTCGACGTGGCTGTCTGCGTCTTTCAGCATGGGATGCTGGGGAGGTGCCTCCCAACTCCTCGGCCATATCTGAAGTCTGCCGTCGCCGCCCCCCTCGACTTGCTCGCCGTCATTTTCCCCCATCAACCGTCGCCTCGTCGCTCCTCGCCCCCAGGCACTTGCTAAAACAGATTACGGATCCGCGGTTCGAAAGTCCCCCCGAAGCACGGCGCCATGCCCGCCTGGTTTGGCCACGGGGCGCGCCGACCCTGCGTGGGAATGGGACCCGCTGCGAACCCACGCGCTTTAAAATGCAGCTGCTAATGGACAGCCTCAGAATCCAGGAAACAGTTTAATTGCATGAAAAATGTAGAAAAAAATGTGATGTGAAATAAGTCAAAATTAGGCCACTGCAATATGTTCTTACAGAAATAACAAACATATACACGGCCCTGAATGCAACGGCAGCGGCGGCGGCGACACGACGGCAAAGCAGAGAGAAGGGAAAGAAACTGCAACGGCGCAACTGTCAGGAGAAAGTGAGTTCCAGCCGGAGAGGTTGCGTGACATCGCATGGCGAATCGCATTGAAACAAAGGAAGCAGAAGGAGGAGGAAGAGGAAAAGGAGGGGAAGGATATGGACGAGGAGGAGGAGAAGAAGGAGGAAGAAATTGATAGAGGAGGGCGAGGAAGAACATGAGGAGTTGGACGAGGATGACCACGGCGACGAACACGAGGAGGGGTAAAGGGAGGAGGAGAAGGAGGAGGAGGAGGAGGAGGGGGAAGAAAAGAGGAGGGGAATGAGGAGGAGGAGGAGGAGGAGCAGGACGAGGACGAGGAGGAGGAGGGGGGTGGACATTTTTCGAGCATCCCCCACGAGTGGAAACCCTGCCGCAGCAGGCTCGCTGCATCCACGAGCACCAGCCCCCACCCCCGCTGATGCGGAAAGGAGTGAGGGCGCTGAGTTGGGCTTGGCGGGGATCGCTGTGGTCTTATCGCAGGCCCGCCGCAGGCGCCGATTTTGAATCAAAGCAAAAATACGCATTGATATCGCAAGCCCGCAAGAGACGCTATTTCTTTATAAGCAGAAACCGGATACTGTTTGCAAACCTGCCGCAAGCGCCGATTCTGCATCGAAGCCAAAACCGGCATGAAGATGGCAAGCTCGCCGCAGGCGCCGATTTATGATCAGGAAACGAATTCTGATTGCAAACCCGCCGCAGGCACCGATTAAAAACTGACGCCGTTACAAGCATGAAGATGGCAAGCCCGCCGCAGGCGCCGATTTTTTTCACCGGAAAATAAATTCTAGAAAACGAATTCCTGGCGCAAGCCCACCGCAAGCGCCGATTTGTCATTAAAAACGTGAATGAAATGACGATCGACGCCGATTATTTCAAGAACCATGAGGAAATCACAAGCTCCGCAGGCGCCGGTTTCTGTCTTGCACAGAAAAAACCTTTTCCACGAGGCCGCGGAGGCCCCCCTATTGGGCGGCATGGCCGGGGGGGGAGGAAGGAGGGGCGGGGGGGGGGGGGGGGGGGGAGGGAGGAGGAGGGGGGGAGGAGAGGAGGAGGAGGAAGGAGGGGGAGGAGGAGGGGGAGGCGGGAGGAGGAGGCGGAGGGGAAGGGGGGGGAGGAGGAGGAGGGGCGGGCAGAGAAATAGCGAAAACATAGCGAGAAAAAAAAAAATGAAAAAAAGGCGCATCCGCGGGGACTTTTGCGGCGCCTATTTTTTATATATTTTCTCGTTATTTTTTTCGGTGGCCGAAACCGACAATTCCGCGCACCTTTTTGTTTCGCTATGTATTCGCTATGTTTTCTGCATTTTTTCGCTATTTATTATACAAAAATGGCGGAAACATATACAAAAAATAGGTTTCGCTGGGCGCACCTATATTTTCATAAAAAGTATACCATAAGTGTGGGAAAAAAGTAGGTCAGCCGAAGCGATTCAAAATGTAGAAGAAATGAATGAAAAAATGTATTTATATGTGTATATATATATATATATTATATATATATATATATATATATATATAAAAAAAAAAAAAAAAAAAAAAAAAAAAAAAAAAAAAAAAAAAAAAAAAAAAAAAAAAAAAAAAAAAAAAAAAAAAAAAAAAAAAAAAAAAAAAAAAAAAAAAAAAAAAAAAAAAAAAAAAAAAAAAACTCCCCGGGGCCGCCGGCCGGAGCAAGGTGAAACAGCGCGACGCCGCCGGGAATCCCGCGGCGGATTGCTGCCGCCCCATCCCAAAGAGCCTTGCCCCACCCCCCTGCCGCAAACACCATTGGGTAGAGAGGCGGGCCGTCCCGGGCGGGGGGGCGGGCGGGGGCGCAACGCCAAACGAAGCGCGCAGCCGCGCGGGTCGCAAACGAGGCGGCGTGACTCTTGTAGCGGGGCCCAACAGTGCATCCCGTCGGCCCTGTCGGCGATCCCTGCTTTCTCAAACGAATTCCTTGTCGGGGATGGGCGCGACCCTTGTCCCGGACCCCCTTATAGCAGGTCCATCAAAGCGCCCACGATGGCTCAAAGATTGCCCCCGCATGTGGCAAGGCTAAAGACGGCCCGCGATACGGCTCCAGATAGCCAGAGATCTTCCACGACCCAAAGCGCCACCACGCCCTGAGGCACGGAGCGGGCGTGTTCCGACGTCATCTGCCTCACTCTTGAGCCTCAGTCCTCTGTCTTCAAAATTCTTTGGAAGGACCTGGAGCCCAAACTGAGAAATCTTCTGGGGCTCCCCGCGCCTTTCCGCATGATTTGTGGGAAACAATTTTGCGATCCCTCCGGATGCGAAAATCCCATCCCCCCCACCCACCCAAAGAGGCCCCGAGAGGCAACAAGGGCCCCCAAGAGGGCCCGCAAGAGGCCCCAAAGAAGCCGCAAGAGCTCTCAAGTCCTCCGAAGAAGGCCCCGAGAGGCCAACATCGGAGTGAGGAGGGGGTTCCGCCCACGCGAATTCGTTTCAAGTCGCGCGCGTGTTGGTTGCTCTGGGGTCGGCAAGTCGCTCCGTTATTTCTTTGTTCTTCCGGCCAAGGGGGGGGCGGCAGGCCCGCCAATGGGGGTTCTCCGCGGCGTCGTGGGAGGGGAAGGGCCCTTTCGGTGCAAGAAAAAATCGGCGCAGGCGGCGGGCTTGCGATCTCCCCGAGGTTCTTGAAAAAATCGGCGCCTGCAGCGGGCTCGCGATCTTCATTCCATTTAAGGCTTTACTGAAAAATTGGCGCCTGCGGTGGGCTTGCGACA